CATGGCTCAGGCGTCAGGTTACTAAAATATCAGCATCACACCAGAAATAAAATACCATACGTGCTTTTTTTTTTTTTTTTTTTTTTTTTTTAAATATTTCTCAAACTGTAGAAAAACAAAACACACAAAAAAACGCTACTGCCTCCTTTCCACAAGACAGCTTTCTCAAAGCCAACCAGAAAATTATTAAAGGATATTAAAAAGATTAGAAATGGAGAGGTGATCACACTATGTATCATTTTCGGAGCCTGAATTTTTAAAATAGGCCTGGAGGGTGCATAGTTTTATGACAGGGCGTGACTTTAATTACTCCTTGCAGCTTTGGAAGCTTTCCAGCGCTACTGTACTGTGCTGCCTCAGTGCGGAGGACAACCGTGTGTCATAAAAGGAAGAAGAAAACCCTTCGTGACTGGGATACATACATACTAATTGGTTTTACATGCATTGTGCAGTCAGATGCTAAACCTGACATGAGCAGTCACTACAGTAATCTCCCATTTGTACTGTTCTTTTGGAAACCAAGTACTTTTATGCTAAAACCTGAATATAGAACACAACTAAAAGTATGTATCCAGGCAGGAAATACATAAAACTCATACCTAGTCAAGGAAAAAAAAAAAGGACTGCAGTAAAACAGGCTTCTACAGTTTTTGTTTCTACGGCACATTGCTGAGGTTTGCCAGGCTAAGAGCAGCTCCTCAGGATCCAGCAGCCCCCAAATATCCCGTACGTGCTGCACAGCGGCTCTCCTCTTCTGGTCCCCAAACATAAAAGAGAGCAGGTTTTTGAGAGGTCTCTGCAGGGCGAGGCCTGAGATGAGAAGACTGCAAATTTCATTTACACCTCCCCCCTTAATTCAATTCTCCCCTGCAGCCAACAGAACCGCAGTCTGTATAATCTGCACACGGTTACACACACGTAAGGACCAGGCCGTACCGCTGGTGAGCTTTATTTCTAATTTATTTCTAATTCCGCAGAGCAGCACACCTCGCTGCCCCGTACAAAACGCGGCGCTTCCCCTGCTCCAGCCTCACAGCACCGGGCGGCTGCAGCCGGAGCCGGTTCCCGAGAACCCTCCAGTCACGGGAACAAAAACCTAAAAGCCAAAACGCCAATAAAAATAACAAAATAGCCGCTTTTCCCTTCGGAAAGCGCCAGGAGCGGCTCCCTCCCGCGCACCGCCTCCCGCCCCCCGTCGCCCTGGCGACGCCCCCGCCCGCCCGCAGCGCGGGAACGCGGCTCCCATCCGGGCGGCCCCGCTTCCGGCGGGCTCCGCTTCCGCTTCCGGTGCGGCGGATCCCGGGCCGGCGCCGGTCCCGTTGCTAGGGTGAGGGCCCGCAGCGCGCTGCCGCGGGTGAGGGGGGGCGGCGTCACCATCGCGATCATCGCGATCGCCGCTATCGCGATAACCGGGGCACCTAGGGAGCCGGTGGGGACCGGAGCGACCCGCGCCGGTCGTTGGGGGTCGCGGGCGGGCGCTGCGGGGGGGGGCTCGGCTGGGCCCCGCTGCGGCCCGGGGCTGGCAGCGCCCTGGGGGCGGCCCTGCCCCGCCGGCCCCGCTCCTCCTGCAGCCGCCGCGCAGCCCCGGGGGTGCCGCGGTGCCCGCTGCGCAGGGGGGCGCTCCCCGCGGGATTTGTTTTTATGTGGTCGCGGTCTCTGTTGCGTGGTGGAATAAGTAGAAGCGGAAAGATGGGGACGGCTCTGCTGAATCTGCCAGGAGGGGTGTCACGAGGCGCTGTCACTGCAGCGTTAAGGCGTCCTCGACCCGGTGCCTTGCCGGGCTGCAGGCGCTCGGTGGGCCGAGGGGCTTAGAAAGGCTCTGACAATGTCACACAATGGCAAAACCCGAGCAAACTTAACCCGAGGATGTTCCAATTTCCTGCCCAGTCCTGATGGTGGAACCTTTGAAAATCCCTGTGACTCTCTCATTGCTCCTAATGTCATTTTTTTTTATATAACCCTTGATTCTGGGGTTCATAATCGGTCCCATCGGTGTTCAGGCATTGAATAAAGGTGTTTCTGCGTGCTGTTTCTGACAGCGCCCATCTTGACAGGACTGCAATTCCGTGAGGACTGACAGCAGATCAAGTGGTCGGCCTCACGGGGTGAGCTGTTCAGTCCAGCACTGGACAGAGACTTGAGAAGTTTCCTCGCAGTTCTTGCCCTGTGCATTTTCTTGCAGAATCAGTTTAGGTGCGTGGTGCAGATGAGAAAGCAGACAATAAACTTCTTTCTAAGGCTAGAAAACTTAGCCTGAAATTTATGGACAGAGGTCATTTATGACAGTGAGCTTATGTATCAACATTGCTGCTATGCCGCCTTAACCTCAGTTGGCTCTCTTAGTGCTTGTAAAACCCACTTTTCACAGAATAATGCTGTTGCACTGGATAGTACTATCCCCTGTTTGATTTGGGAATATTTGAAAAAAATAGATTTACATTGTCATACGATAGGAGTCTTCCTCTTCAATTTGTTTTCATGGATCTTACAGGAAATAGCAAGGAGGTAGGGCTTTCAGTGTCCTCAGCAAACAGGTCGTGTCTACTCCTCTCTTACCTGCTGTAAGCTTGGTGCATATACTAAAGAATACAGTATAAATGGGAAGTATTTTGGCTGAGAGCAGGTAACTGCATAGAACATGATGTTTGAGGAGAAGAGGAGGCAGATTTTAGTTTGACATCTTTCAGAATTGCTAGACCTGTACTTCTTGAAGGTGGACAGGCTCCCTTTTTTTTTCATAGATCTTTCTCTACTTTTCAGGCATCAATCTTTTAAGGACATTCTTGCTTTTACTGGTGCAGATGCCTTCTGTGCATCTCCTGACAATATGAAACAGCTTTCAAATACCTTTATCTGTCTTTGATTTTGTTTCCAAATTTTAACAGAAAAAAACACGTTCTCTCTTCCACCTAAAGCTAAAAATCTTGTTTCTCTGCTGTGTTTAATCTAGGATTAAACTGTTGAATATAATTCACATAAATGATTGTGTAAATTAAAGATAGTGTAATTATGGTTACTTTTTCAGCACTGCAATGAAAGTGCCGTTCTTACAGAGTAATTGCATTGTGTAGGTGTTGTGTTTTGGCTTTGTTTTCAAACTCCTGCTTTGATATTGCTACAGTGAGACGTGACCTGGGGTGTGTATTACTGCAGGTATTGCACAGGTCTCAGTGAAAGCAAGCAGAGAAAGCCAATGCTTAAAATAAGCTGCTGGTTCAGACCTATTTTTATATATTTTAGGTCTTTCAGACTTGTGGTTTAGTAACTACGTATGTAAAGTTATCCATGACTGGTTTGATTGCGTAATTATTGCAGAGGACGTTTCTGAGATTTGAAATGACTTCTCTGATGCTGCAGTACTCTGCCTGGGTACCGGTTGTGCAGCGAACAAGCTGTACCTGTGCAGAACATGCAGCAAGCAAGCATATGCTGGATCAAACAGGGAATGTGACATTGCTAAGTACATTGAAGCAGAACTCAGAGCCCCAGTTTAAGGGATGTTCTTTCTGCCTTATCTCCAACATTTTATCAACATGTTTGTTATCTGTGCATGCAAAACAAACAGCTCTTTGGTATACAGTATAATAAAAATGTAAAAATACTATATCGCTTGTCTTAAAAAAAAAAAAAAAAAGGCAATTCTATTTCTTCCTTACGTGATCATCGCATTTTCCTCATCCAGCAGATTTTTCAGGAGCTAATACTGAACATATGCTTCAAGGATGTCTCTCTCTCTTATAATAAAATGGGGTGGACAGGAGTATACGATAACCTCGTTATCGGAAGAGGACACAGTGTTGGATCTGAAGCAATCTCTTAAAGGCCTTACTGGAGTGTTACCAGAGCGGCAAAAACTTCTTGGACTTAAAATGAAGGGTAACTATTCTTATCTATTGTTTATTGTGGACGTGTGTGAGATGTTTAAGGAAATACATCCTTTTAAGTTATTCAGGATGTGTATACAAAAAGAGCATCTACCTCCCAGATCTAGCTTTCAAAGGAGCACACACAATATCTTGTGATATATAAAATTTCAGTGTTTATTATTGATACATCTGTACAGTCATTTTTTAATGACTGATGTGGAAGTGCAGCAAATGTACCTTAAAAATTAAATTGCTGTTCGCCTGACAAGCAATGTGTTCTTGCATGGAGGATGATGATGCAGCTTGGAGAATTCTGGTGTTTCATGGGTAGCTTGTTTCAATTAAGCATGACATGTATTGACAGTTTGCTAAAATCTTTCTACCCAATTTAGAAATGAATTCTGTTTACATTATAGGAAAACCTGCAGATGATGATGTTAAGCTTGGAGCTCTCAAGCTGAAACCAAATACTAAAATCATGATGATGGGCACTCGTGAAGAGAGTCTGGTAAATAATTTACTCATTAGCTTAAAATGAGAAAAATGTTCGTCTCCTCATTATGATTTTGAATTTTCCAGTAATCATTCAAAAAATAGTACAATAGATTTCAGCTGTTTTTCTGCAGAATGCGGATAGCAGCATAGTCATGAAAATCTGTATTGTTGTGGACTTCAGATACAAAACTACTACTATGATATTCTCACTGACTTCTGAAATCTTAATCGGTATATTTTAGTAACTAGTAAAATGATTTTTTTTTTGTCTGCAACGTGCAATAACAATCTTGATATCCCTTGGTTTTACAGTGATCCTAGTTATCTTTGTTATTATTCGTCTAGGAAGATGTTCTTGGGCCACCTCCTGATAATGACGATGTTGTCAATGACTTTGATATTGAAGAGGAAGTTGTGGAAGTGGAAAACAGGTTAGGAGTTTTAGCTATTAAAAAACACTCCTGTTACCAACTGAACAATATGCATTTTAATTAACTGTAACTTTTTGCACTGTTATATTAGGGAAGAAAATCTACTAAAAATTTCTCGCAGAGTTAAAGAATACAAAGTGGAAATTCTGAATCCTCCCAGGGAAGGAAAAAAGCTGCTGGTGCTAGATGTTGATTATACACTATTTGGTGAGATTTTATGCAACTTGTGGGTTTTAAGAGGGCTGTTCATTTGCCAGTTCACATTTACTGATTTTTGCTTTATGAAGCCATTTCCGTAACTTTGGCCTGCATTGTATTGTATAGCTTCAGCTTCATAACATTTTTGGGGTCCTCTGCTCATATCGTAAAAAGAATCAGGCTTTTTAAATGTTGTATAACGTTGATTTTAGTGTAACAACTATTTACTTTCTCTAAGATGATGCAAAAATAGGTTACTTGGATAAAATTCTAAACTCTCTTGGCCAGCTTGTGTGTTAGATATCATGGCGTCAGGACAAGCTACTGCTGTAAATTAATTGTCTTTCTGTACATGATTGATTCCTTTTTTGGGGTGGGAGAATAGCTTCTAATTGTATTTCCAGGTTGTTAAACATGTACAAAACCACGTTTTACCTGAAAATTCTGTCTAACTGGTTTTCTTAGCCAGAATTTCCCTTCTGACTTCATTTTCTGGGATCTGGGTGTGTCATGGCAGTTTGACTATAACCAGTAAATAATAACTTGCCTTTTTCCTTTCCTTACTTTTTTGTAAGTTTCATTTATGATCCAAAATGAGAATTCAACCTATTACTCAACATTTTTATTTACACATCTCCTGCTAGAAGAATCTGACAGCAGTTTTCTAATTGGAACGGGCAATGTTTGCACATTTGAAAAAGATTTGATACACATTCACAAGATTAACTGGACAGAGTTTACAAAAATCTCTGTTCAGTATCTGGGCACTTAGAAATTTGCTAAAGTGCATAGATGAACTATATGTCCAGACTCTTCAAAGATATTCAGACCCTCAGCTCTCATATATTAAGCAAGCTCTCAAATACCTGAAGATCAACAAATAAATATCCCTTCTACTTTTCTCACCTTTAATGTGGGAATAGTAGTTTGCTGTGAATTCATTCATGGTTTCAAATCACCCCGGTGCTTCCCTTAAGAAATGTTTCAGGTCTCTGGGTAGGTAGGAAAGTCATAATTAACATCCTAAATTGAATAATGAATTGCTTCTCTCTCATTCTTTTTAGACCACAGGTCATGTGCTGAAACTGGAGTAGAACTTATGAGGCCATACCTTCATGAATTCCTGACATCTGCATATGAGGATTATGATATTGTTATTTGGTGTAAGTTTTTAAAATCTCAGTACCTAAGACTTCATTGTAAATTGTCATTTAGAGCAGAAACTCCAATTGTGAGGTTATATTGAATTTTAGTGTGAATCAAGATCTAAAACAATACATGAACATTAACCTGTAATATATTCACTGAGAACGTTCACACAGCTATCAGAGCTATTTTACAAAAACAGTAATTCTTAGGTGAGGAAAACCACCACATAGTGTTCTTGTGAATGGATCTAATCACAATATAAAGCTCAACATTGCTTTACTGAATGTTACTTTGTATAAGCAAGCAAGTGCTTGAAAGAACACAATTGTAAAATAGACATTCAAATACTGCTTGGTAGCTATCTTTACAAATAACTTCAGCCCAGACAATAAGTAGTAAACTGCCATAGCAATAGAAAACTGGAAATAAACCAACCTCTCCTGTGCACAGGGATGGTTGATCATTTGCTTTAGCACAGTTTCTTTTCCTTTCAACAGCTGGAGCCAATACAGGCTTTAAACCATATTCAAATTGTATTAAAATTTGATTTTCATAGTCTGAAACATTATTTACACAATCTTAGATCAGTGGGCAGCGTTGACACTTTGTCCTTTCCATGCCTTATGCGTTATCATTACTTCCAGGAGCAAATCCTGTGAAGGCAACATAGTTCCTCAAACCAGACACAGCCCATTTCTATGGCCCTGCAGACTACAGTTCAGTAACGGCTGATCTAGAAAATGGTTTTAAAGAAACTTAATCAAATTTTCATTTGAAAAGTAGGTTTTTCCAAATAAAAATAATCTTTCATGACCTTCCTTAAGACAGTGAACCCTAAAAACTGTAACAAGGGTGGATCTTTCCTAAATGAAAGTCCATATAAAAATTTGAGAAGTGAAGTTTGTCTTCTTTTTAAACCTGTCAACAATTAATTTTGATAAAGATTTTTTTCTCCCTTTTTGTTTTTCAGCTGCTACTAACATGAAGTGGATTGAAGCTAAAATGAAAGTAAGTTGTTCTGAAAATGCGGAATTTGTTTCTAGTCTGGCTAGCAGTTCACATAGACTTGTGCTCAGCAGTGGAGAGAGATGTAGCAACTAGGAGGGTTATATGAATCAAAATCCAAGTTTTCTAAACTGTTGTAGTACTTTAAAATATCTTTGCCACAAAGCTAGATTAAATCTAATTTTAGAATTCTACAGAGACTATCAGAGCAGTAGGTACTAAATTTAGCAGAACTAAACACAAGTCAGTACTTGCCGACAGTTAGATTAGTCACACAGCCTTCACTGTTGCTTTCATCTTACCTCTAATTATAGAGTTCTAATCTTAAGTGTAAAACATTTTTTTAAGGGAGTGGACAGATGTGGCATGCTGGACTATTTGTCTTGCACCTCTTGCAGATGTGTGGCTTTGTTGCTTCCTCTGCCTTATTAAAACATCCGTAAAAGCTCTTCTTTCAGTCCTGCTTTCTTCCATACTTAAATTGGGCAACTAGCCAGATTTACACAGCTGACTTAGTTGTAAACATATTTACAGTCCAGGCTTAGCTCAAAACCTAAGGAGCTTAATAAGATGCACTGTATGTTTGGTTGGTGGGTTTTTTGTTTATAAATCAGAACTTGTTTCCTTTTTAGGGAAAACTGTTCCAAATTTAAGCTCATCTGCCCTCTTTTTTTGTTTATAGACTTTTTTCAGGTTGTATCAGAGCAAAGAACACTTTACATATTCTCTACATCAAAAATAATCTGCAGCAATTTTTGTAAACAAAAATCCTTCAGAATGATCTCAAAAATGAGAGCCTTTAATCAGAACAATGAAGTGTAATTAGCTCAAGTAGAACCAGTGTTGAAACTTGCAAACACTATTTCTGTGCCAGTATTCCATCTCTGTTTATGTTGTCTATGAATTCTTTGCTTTATCTAGAACAATACTATAGCTACAGTTTTGTAGTACAAGACTATGAGTTCAAGTTAGAATGGGTTTGTGACTCAAATATTAGAAGTGTTTGTGGCTGTTACCCATGTGGTTTATTTTCTGGCTATATCAAAACTGTTGTAGCAGATAGAGGTAAGTGCAAGCATGGTGAAATACGCATACAAAGCTAATCATTAACCTTCTTTTGGCATTGCTTGACTCCCTAATACATGCGCAAGCATCACATCTTGCATGTGAGATTTACCATTTAAAATAACATCTTTGTTTTGCAGCAGAATCCTTTGTAGCACTAGGGTTCAATCTAGCAGAAAACCATTGTTCAAAACTGGGCTGTTTACCCTGCAGTCACCTTTCCACAATTCTGGGTCACCTTTCCAGCCCTTTCATATGTTACTGATTGGCAGCTTTCCCATGCCTATTCCAAACTCCTGATCAGTTGAGATTCCTAGTACTAGAATGACAACTGTTGCTTTTCCTGAAACTGATCACACCTTTGCAAGTTTCACTTTTTGTCTGGCAGCAACAATCCCAGCAATACTTGAAGTGTTTGTTTTAAACTACAGAGCAGAAATAGCATTAAAAAAAGGAAAATCAGTTAACTAAGTTTATTTTCTTATTCTACATCTATTTATGCCCAGAATTCAGACAGTCTAGAAACAGCTACTTTTTTCAGAATAACAGGACATTGACACATACCTAGCACTTTTCATTTATAAGATTCACTTTTTTGTATAAAAGCAAATCAGTTAAGTGCGGCTGGATATTTGCAAGACATTACAGTGGATATTTTATCCTTGTTTTTTAGCTTTGCATATAATTTTTGGTGCATGCAACAGCAATAAAGTCAGCAATGTAGATGTCAGTAGATTTTACTATTGCTTTTCAACTTTGGAAAGGATTGGAAATGGAAGTGATGCCCTCTTATCTAGTTAAAGTTTTACATTAAATTAGATCATTTTTCCTTTAAGACTTTATTTCAGGAGTGATCAAATTTTGAAAGTACAACTGAGAGATTTCTGACTAACAGTGACTGTCTAGGACTCACACAGAGGAAAGGGTAACAATGAACTGCTGTTGTATATTTTGTCTTTGGCTGTGGTTGGTTGCAACTTACTGGAATAAACAAATAGCAGAACATACACAGCTGCTATTCCAGCTATAGATACTGAGTAAAGTTGAGGCATGTAGAACTCGTGAAAAATCATGCATGAAGGTAAAGCCGTAAGTTCTATTTTGCCTCTTCTGCGTAGTTGCTTTAAATTTTATGCTGACATCAGATGCTGAATTTCTGACAGTAAACACTACAAAAATAAATTCCTATCAGCTTTTTTTTTTTTTAGAATGGTATACTTTTTTGATTCTCATTGAATAGGAAAAATAAAAACAACAAACCCCCCTTTAATACATCTCTGCTCATCCTCATCAGCTTACCCTTCAACAATGTATTACATTCATGTTTTCAGCTGTACAGAACTAAAACTTATAATCTGAAATTTTAATAATTAATCTTTGTGATGCAGGAGCTTGGAGTGAGTACTAACGCAAACTACAAGATAACCTTCATGTTGGACAGTGCTGCCATGATAACAGTGCACACTCCTAGAAGAGGACTGATAGATGTAAGTACCATTTTTCCCCCCTGATCCTTTTCTACATTTAGCTGACATGTTACCATACCCCTTTGAAATATTTAACAAAGTTGTGTTGGAGTTTTCATGCAAGAAAATTGGGAGAATATCTGAAGCATAGATTTTCTACAGAAATCCTCTATTAATGATTAGTATTTAAAATAGCTCATATGGATAGCACTGATTTCAAATCAAGTAATAAATAATTTGTGAAAAAATTTAGTACAAAGGTTTTGTTTACCATTTCAATTCCTTTCCCATATTAAAGCCTAACTAACTACCTGGTAACTTCAGTCCATTTGAGTTTGGATTTAAATTTGTATAGACTGGTATTTTTTCCTCCTGCATGTGATCTGATTTACCTGAGGTAACCTTTCATGCATTATTCTTGCAGGTGAAGCCTCTTGGCGTTATCTGGGGAAAATTTTCAGAATATTACAGCAAAAAAAATACTATTATGTTTGATGATATTGGCCGAAACTTCCTAATGAATCCACAAAATGGACTCAAGGTAATTTTAACTGGAATTTTCATGTATTACTACTTTTACTTATGCTTCAAGTAGTACTTTCTCATATGTTTTGTTTTATCTTAAAGAAAGACTATTCTTAACTAGCAAAGATGCATATTTTATTGTATTTTTTATTTGAATTGCCATTTGTCTGGACTAACATTTCCCCAACAGTAGTTTTAAATAAGCTTTAATTCACTATTGAGTTTTTAAGAGACTACCAAAATCACTGAAATTATTTCTGCTTAAATTGTACCTGCAAACTATAACCATGCTAGGCATTGCTGACAGGCACCATTAAAACATGATGTTCAATCTCAAGGGTGATTCTATTCAGAAAATAAGTCAAATAACAAGCTGCCATACTTCATGTTAGCATGCCAACGTAATAGCAAGCATTCTGTTCCTGGTTAATAATTAATACCTGGAGCCATTTTGACTGCAGAACAGCAAATATTTCATTTTATAAAATTGTTGACCGGTTCCTGTTCCAAAACTTCTAATCATCAGTGCTTGTTCTGAATAAGAATGGAACTTAAATTTCTACGATGCAACAGTATGGTACTAAAAGAACCCCCACAAATTTATTTTAAAAAATCAAATGCAGAAATCCAAGATGTTTCTTAGAAAATATCCGTGATTTGAAGATAGCAATTGATGAGATCTATCACCATGACATTAATTGGAACTGTACAAATATATGAAACACAGAAATATATTAAAGATATTGCTGGGAGAGGATTAGCCAGAGAGCTCCCTCTAGCTTAGATTTCAAAGATGTTTGTCAAAATGTTATTAAGAGAACTGCAGACAAGAACGTTGAATCACTAAAACAAGACACAGGTATAATGTATTCCAAGCTTAAAGCAGTTGTCAGATAAGCTTTATTTCTGACATCTCTTGTCACAGAAGCTATGATCGTAGTCAAATGCTTTTTGTTGAAAAAAATCATCTGGTTCCAGTGATGCCACACAACTCAAAGCAGAGCTGAAAACCCCTCATTTCTCCTGCAAAAATATCTATGAAATCACTTTAGAAAATGTGACAGTCCATTGCAGACCAATCTATCGTCTAACTGGGAGGGAAAGGCCTGAAGAAACGAAAGACTGACAGAACAATTTGCTTCTGGGTGGGCATGCAAGACAAAAATCCAGATTGCATCAATAAAAAACAAATTGGAGGTGGCCAATAATGGAAAGTTTTTCTTGCTCTTACCTAAAAGAAGTCATAACACAACACAGTATTGAAAAGGTGCTTTAATTAGGTGATAAGTGCTATAGAATTGGAAGTGTTTTTCCTCACTTGGAGCAAATGATTATACCCAATTTATTTATTTCGTATAGATAAGGCCTTTCATGAAAGCACACTTAAATCGGGATAAAGACAAGGAGCTTCTAAAGCTCACTCAATACCTCAAAGAAATAGCAAAATTAGATGACTTTTTGGAGCTGAATCACAAACATTGGGAAAGGTAAGAACAAAGTCAAAATTTACTTCTTTCTCTCTCTTACACCACTGCATTTTGCTTAAGGTCAGATGTACAAAGACCAAGAAACAACTGAACTGATGAACTTTG